CTGGGGGCCACTCCCGCGCCCGCTGCACCCCCTCCCTAGCTGGCCCGGCCGCCACCCTCCTAGACCCCGTGGCCTCCTGAGCTCGGGAGCGGCCCAGGCCCGGCTTCGAAGCGCAGCTGCTTCCCGGGTCCGTCCTGCGGCCCTTGGTCTCAGCCATTCACTCTTGGCCCGCAGTGGCCTGGCCTTCTAGCGCGAGGGCTGACAGGAGACAGCCCAGCTGGGCCAGCCGGGCGGGTGGTGGGAGGTGATCGGCTTCCAGTTAGTTTTCTAGGAAGGAAGGAGGGCTGGGTGGGGCGCAAGTGAGGCCTCCCCTTGTTTTCCTACCCCTCCCCTTGCAGAGTAATCTCAGAGCTTCCTGGCAGCCCCTTCTTGGAGGAGAGCCAGGGTGGACAGTGGGGTTGCAGCTAGGCCTGGGTGGGGTGCGGGGGCTTGATCCGGCAGCTATTCATGCCAGGAAAAACGCCACAGTTGGATTGGTGCAGCCAGACCTAGACAGTGCTTAAGGCAGCTCACCTTTCCCTTTCATGCTCTAGAAAGGCTTAGATAACCAAGTGGTACCTGCTTGTTCGTTACACCTGTTTGCTACCTCCAGCAAGAACAATTGCCCCTTTGCTTCCTTCCTCCTTTCCTGGAAGATGCTGAGAATGGCAACTCTTAGCTTGACTTTTAATGGTTTTGTTTGGCACAACTCTCAGAAGTCAGCATGGTCTGAATGCATCTTCTATCCTCTCTCCTCTTGGGAGAAAACTTAAAAACTTTTAAAATGTAATAAGCAGATGAGCTGGGAATCTAGAAGTAGGTTGCCTCTGACTAAAAGTTCCTTCCTTTCTCTCGCATTATGTTATGCTGCCACAAAGTGGTGAGTTAGAGATTTGCCTGGGCTGAGTGGGCGTTCCATTGATTATCCAGGAAGTTATAGACCTGGAACAAGGGAATGGATTGTCTCCAGAGAAGAGATAAGGAGAAATACTTGTTTTTAGCATGCTACATCCTACATTTTATGGAGGTAGACCAGTGCAATTCCTTAATTTTCCTGCAGACCATGACAGAGACATTCAGAAGATTTAAGACATTTTTGTGATGCTCTGGGACATGATCAGAGTGAGGAAGTTCTGCATGGACATCGAGGCTGGGTGGTTCTGTGAACCTATCATCTAACACCATCACCCATGGGTTCAAGTCCCTGCAGGGCCATCTGTCCTGTTAGGTAGAGAGAAAATAGGCATATGGCCAGAGTGAAAGGTCTGGGCATAGATGCAGAGAGATGTGGGCCACTGTGTCTCAGGAGAGGGTTTTTGATGTGGCCTTTGGTTCCACAGAGTTGTCCTAATATGACTGCCAGAGGCCTTTTGCAATAGAGCTCTCAGATGGCTAGGTATGGTCTCTTTGGATCAACAGGCTGGACCTCTGGTCGGTGTCCTGGATTTGTTCTCAAGGTGACAAGTAGAAGAGTGGTTGGCAGACCTCAGGGAGACATTGGCATTATGGACAGATCACTCCTGTTTCACCTGTGAGACACTTGTCTGAGGAGAGTTGGCTGGAAGCTAGAGGGGACTCAGTGGATGTCCTGGACAGGGATAGAGAACTAAGGTAGGAATGACTGGAGATAGTTGCTGTCTACTTTGCCTGGAGATGCTGAGCTTCCAGCAGACTTTGGTGGCATGTGGGAGAGCAGGTCTCCCAGCCCTGAGCATCTCCTTTCCTTTGGTCTGTGTCCATGTGCCAGGTGCAGCCAACACAGGGAGAGGATCCAGGGAAGGCTGCTTGTTCCTGTCTCCAGCTCACAATCTCTCTCTTCCCTACAGAACCGATCTCTGGGAAGGCAGAGCCTCCCTGGCATTGTTGGGACCCTGCCTTGAAGAGCCCCCTGTCCTGTAGACACAACCTTGTAGTCTGTCTTCTTGGTTAATGACTGGGGCTGCTCATCCTCTTCTGTGCCTTATCTGAGGTCCTTGTCCATCCCTGAGATCGGGCATCTTCTCTCTCTGGGTTGGGTCACTATAAGCGGGAAACTGAAGCCATTACTCTCCAAGCCTTGTTTCATCTTCCCAAGCATGTCGGAAACCTGGCAGCAGCCGCCACAGACACAGCCACAGCAGCCGCAGCCACCACAGCCTCAGCACCATGCAGAACCACCACCGGCCCTGGCGGAGCACACGCTGCCCCCAGGCACGGCTGAGAACCCCCTAGGCTGTGCTGTCTATGGTATCCTCTTGCAGCCAGATCCAGGCCTGCAGCCCCCACAGCACGCGCCCCTCCAGGCAGCTAGCGAGCAGGCCCCCAAGTGCGGGGTGTGTGGTCATGACCTGGCACACCTGTCCAGCCCACACGAGCACCAGTGCCTGGCGGGCCATGACCGCTCGTTCCAATGCACCCAGTGTCTCAAGATCTTCCACCAGGCCACGGACCTACTGGAGCACCAGTGTGTGCAGGCTGAGCAGAAGCCTTTTGTCTGTGGTGTCTGCAAGATGGGCTTCTCTCTGCTCACCTCCCTGGCACAGCACCACAGTGCCCATACTGGCCTTGTGAAGTGCTCCATCTGCGAGAAGACCTATAAGCCAGTGGAGGCCACTGAGCCAGCCACCACTGCGGGCCCTTCACTTCCCCCTGCACCCCCACCTCCTGCTGTGGCCCCTACGGAGCAGCCTGAAAAACCCTACAGCTGCCCCATCTGCCAGAAGCCCTTCAAGCACCTGTCAGAGCTCTCTCGCCATGAGCGGATCCACACTGGTGAGAAGCCTTACAAATGCACGCTGTGTGACAAAAGCTTCAGCCAGTCGTCCCACTTGGTGCACCACAAGCGCACACACAGCTCAGAGCGGCCCTACAAGTGCGCTGTGTGCGAGAAGACCTTTAAGCACCGCTCTCACCTGGTGCGCCACATGTATGCTCACTCAGGTGAACACCATCTGTTCCGCTGCAACGTGTGTGAGTTGCACTTCAAAGAGTCATCGGAACTGCTGCAGCACCCGTGCACCCCGAGTAGCGAGCGGCCCTTCCGCTGCGGAGAGTGCCAGAAGGCCTTCAAGCGGCCCTCGGACCTTCGGCAGCATGAGCGCACGCACAGCGCTGAGCGGCCCTTCAAGTGTGACCTGTGCCCCATGGGCTTCAAGCAGCAGTATGCGCTTATGCGGCATCGGCGCACGCACAAGACTGAAGAACCCTTCAAGTGCGGCCTGTGCGAGAAGGGGTTTGGCCAGCCTAGCCACCTTCTCTACCACCAACACGTGCACACCCTCGAGACTCTCTTCAAGTGCCCTGTGTGCCAGAAGGGCTTTGACCAGTCGGCTGAGCTGCTGCGGCACAAGTGTTTGCCAGGCTCAGCCGAGAGGCCCTTCAAATGCCCTGTATGCAACAAGGCCTACAAGCGGGCTTCAGCCCTGCAGAAACACCAGTTAGCACACTGCTCGGCAGCTGAGAAGCCTCTGCGCTGCACACTGTGTGATCGCCGCTTCTTTTCCTCCTCAGAGTTTGTGCAGCACCGCTGTGACCCTGCACGTGAGAAGCCCCTTAAGTGCCCGGACTGCGAGAAGCGTTTCAAGTATGCTTCAGACTTGCAGCGCCACCGTCGGGTACACACTGGTGAGAAGCCCTACAAGTGCCCCAACTGCGACAAGGCCTTCAAGCAGCGTGAGCACCTCAACAAGCACCAGGGTGTGCACGCCCGAGAGCAGCAGTTCAAGTGTGTGTGGTGTGGCGAGCGTTTCCTGGACGTGGCCTTGCTGCAGGAGCACAGTGCCCAGCACAGTGCTGCAGCTGCAGCTGCTGAGGGTGCCTACCAGGTGGCCGCCTGCCTGCCCTGAGGCCCTTCAGCCCAGTGGGTCCAGTCCAGCCTCGCCTCCTTATGGCTTCCTTATAGCTGCATCACATCAAGACCCCCACCCAGCTTGGTGTTCTGAGTCCCTGGGAGGGTGCTGGGCAGGTGGAAGGTGTGTAGTGCCAGGCACTCCTGGCTCATCATTGGGGAGAGCCAGATATTGATTCCATAAACTTTTCCCACCACAGGAATCCTTCCAGAGAGCTGCCAGCCTCCCTCATCTCTGGAATCCCACTGGCAGTCAAGTGGCTCCAACCTTCCCAAATCTTCCAGCCTAGTTAGAAATCAGTTGGGGGTGGGGGGAGGGTTATAGTAGGGCCTAGACCCCAGAGGTAGGTGGCGCGGGGCATCCCTGTCAAGTTGCTGTTGAGGGAGGAAGGCCAGTTTTGTGATGTAGTCCTGGGGATGAGGAGGGCAGACAGGGAGCCAAAGGTGATGTGTCCCCCAGGTTTCTGATAGTCTAGATGTTCAGGACAGGACTCTTCAGGCAGGGTCTGCCTGGGGACCAGTGAGCCTAGCCAGGAGCTGGGAAGCAGACATTCCTGTGACACCTTCAAGGGGGACAGAGCTAGCCAGGGGGAAGGAGGACAAGCAGACTGTTTATGCTGAGGGCTTATCCCATAGCTTTGGGTGTGGCTCTGAGCTGTCAGAGGGGGCTGCAAGTGTGAAAGAAGGGGACTGGAGTCCTCCAGGTATCAGAGGAAATAGGCCAAGCCCATGATGTCCCCAGCAGATGCACAAGTGTCCTCCCCACAAATTGTGTGAACCAAAGTGTCTGTGGTCCCAGACCTGCCTCAGGGCCCAGACCAGGCTTGGGTGCCAGGGTGGAAAATGGCCTCTGGCCCTACGGTGCCCAGTCAGCCCATGGGAATACCACCCCTTCATCAGTCTGCTTGCTGCCCTGGACCCTAGGGATCTTATGCTCTGGATAACATCCAGCTACTTCCAAGCCCGGAGTTCTCCTTTGGGGCTTCCTAGAGCTCACTAGGTCTCTTAAGGCAGAAGATGTCCAGGGCACAGGGAATAAGGGGAGTAAGTGGGTTAAGGAATCCAGTAGGTAGTGTGCCTGTCAGGTGGATAGAATCAACTGAGATCGCGGTGGCTTGGGCCACCTTTTATTATCAAAATTATCATTTTTGAACCCAGCTCTGCCGCTGCCCTCTTCTGGCTCCACCTGTTCCTGGTCTTAAAGAAGACTGATCGGTACACACGCCAAGGGCTGGAGGGGCAGGAAGACACCACCTCTCCTCTCACCTTATGGAATCTGCACAGCCATGTCCACCTTGTCTAATTGACGAGGTTCCCTTCTGTGCTTCAGCAAGGGGCTGGCCTTTCCCCTTGGTGCTGGCTCTTGGTCACAATGCCTCAAAAGACTGGAACCCAGGTCCTGACAGTCCCAACTGCTAAATTTTCCCTTTCATTTTGCTTTCTAAAAGCAGTTTGTTATACTATTCATAACATTGTAGTTTAATTTTACATCATTTTGGATCTTATATATAAATGTGAGAATTTGAATTTTTGAAAAGAATGACTCCATTCTAGGTAGCCACTTTTGATGTTACTATATAGTGAGCCAATGTATGCTTTAGAAGTAAAGACATTGACTGTCACAGACCAAAGCTCTGTTTGTTCTGTTCGTGCTTCCACAGGGGGATGATGGGACACAGGCAGGTTGGGATCTGGGACTAAAGGCTGGATTTGAATCCAAAGTTTTGGACTCTGGCTGTGTGGCATTGGCAATTTGCTTGATCTCCTTGGGACTCAGTTGGCTCATCTGTTTGGATATAGGTTAACCCTTGTCTTGCTGTGCAGTTGTGAGATCATATGGTGTTATGAGGCCCTGGTGGGAAAACTAAAAAGTGCTGGCAATATCAACTGCGGGACACATGGGCCCTCAAGAATGGACCTGCCTGTCCTTGACCTTGGGGCATTGCCACATCACTTGAGGAGGGAGTTGGGCTCTGAGGGACCAGTGAGTCAGGGTGGGCCAGAGGGCTGGGACTGGTAATGGTAAGCAAGAAAATTTGCTCATCCCCTCTGTGGAGCAGTGGCCAACCCAGCTGGCCTTGCCCTGCCCAGAGGCTGGCCTGGTCTTGCTTTACCACTGCCCATCCTGTCCCACAGTGACCCCTCTGCTTTCTACCTCAGTGCCTCCATACTGGTTTCCTCTATGCCCATCTCTTCCTTTCCTCCATGGGCCCAATTGCATCTCAGTCTCTTTCTAACCATATCCCGCCCCCACTCTCTCAGTTGGCGATGGAACCCAGGGCTTTGCCCATGCTAGGCAGGTGCTTGACTACTGAGCTACAACCCAGCCCTCTTCCCATTTTTCAAAGGCCAGGGTGGGGCTGGAGAGAGGGAGAAACAGTACCCAGGTCTGGGCATCTGAGAGCCAGTGGAAGGTAGCCAGCAGGAGGACCTAGCCCTGGGTGGGTAGGGTGAGGGTGGAAAGTTAAAAGGGCAAGGAGCTATATGCACTGTAGAGAACCCCAAAACTGGGTACAGAAGGCTTACTAAAAAGCCAGGGAATGCTCCTTCTGTGTGACCCAGGGAAGAATTTGCACTTGAAAAGCCATGTGATTGTTTCTGCAGGCCTCTACCTCAGGAGGAGATGGCCAGGTCCCTTTGTCTTATTCCAGGCTCAAGTCCTGACTTACTTCCTAGTCACATGACCTTAGGCAAAACCCATCCACCTAGTAGGCAGGGTGGACCTACGTAATCCCTTTGTGAAGAAATTTCAGAGGTCCAGGACTTGTCCAAAGTTGTACATGGTGATGCAAGCAGCCTGGATTATAGGGGCTGGTCACATGAATCTAGGATGTACACATGGGTGGAAGACACAGTGGGGCCAGGAGAGTCCTGTGCCCTGAACCACGCAGGCCTCCAGCTTTGACCACTGGTGCCCGAGACTCTGGCTCCAACCTAACCTTTGCTGGGCAGGAAGCTGGTGACAGTGGCCAGGACCAGTCGTCGTTCTGACCCAGGGAGCAGGAAAGCTTTCCCCAGCAGGGCAGAGGGTGGCCAGCCCCTCCGGCCCACTGTCAGCTGCTTAAGATATCAAAACTCCAGTGCACCATCAGCTCCCTTTAGGTCTAAGCCTCCTGGGCACTGTCAAGGAGGACCATCTCTCCATCTTCTGGCCTGCATCCTGGCCCCCAAGACCCCTTTTCTCCTTCCTCCTTTGGAGCAGGCTTCTTCCTAGACCATGGACTGCTCAGGCCATAGAAACCCAATGCCTCCTAGCCAAACTCTCCCAGGACAAGCTCCACAGCCCATCTGAAAGCAAGTGGTTTCTTTGTTCTTTGAAGGTCACACCTTTAGGAAGAGCCTTGGCCGCTATTGATTTTCTAAAATCTACAAACATTCCTGCTGAATAGTCTGAAAAGGAAATGGGGGGGGTGTGGGGTCTGTCTTCACTGTGTGTATGTCTGCATTCCTGCCTTTGTTCATCCACTAGCATTACCGAGCACCTGCTGTTTGCCAGGCCCTCAGCCCATGCCACATGACACAAAGAACTGCAGATGAGAGTTTTGGGGTTTTCATGAATCAGAGGTAGGATCAAAATAGGTCAAAACTGTTGATATTTAGTAGGAAATTTTATGTGCAAAAGTCCTTCCTGACTCTCCTTCCATTCCACCTTCAGCTTGGACATTCACTCCATTCCTGAACCTGCCCCAGTGCCAGCCCCAGGCCCTGGGTTATGTGTATTTTGCATGTTGCTTTGTAATAAACACCACTATGATTTTTGTAGTAGCATTCATTTATTGTAGGTATGTGTGTTGGTTCTGAGGGACCTCAGGCCCAATTCCTGAGCCTCAGCTAAGAGGAGCCTGGAAGCAAGCCCACCATGGTCCAGAGGGTATGAGCCCCTGAATAGCTGCTGTTCTTGTCCTCACGGTCTTGGGGAAGAATAGGGGAGAAAGGAAGACCTGACAGAGTCCTGACTGGAAGAAAGGGTGGGTGGGGTTGGGTAACAAGGGGTGAGGGAATGACCTGGTAGGAGGATGACTGTGAACAGAGTTTTAGAGACAGACAAGAGCCTGGGGCACTAGGATAGCCAGGAGGCTGGTGGTAAGGTTTGTTTTAGGGTAACAGGATGTTTCACTGGGGTCTGCCTGGAAGGCTTGAAAGCAAGATAGATCACAGTGGCTAGGCTGTCCCTAAGGTTGTCTAGTGAAGATTTCTGACATGACTTCTTTATGATAAGCTAAGAATCCTTAGAGGCTAAGGCCTTGGGACCTTGGCTACTGCCAGCAACTCTGAGGACTTTCTCCCTCTACCCAATTTCTATCTTTCAAGACAGAAGCCTGGGCCTTACTGTGTTGCCCAGGGTGGTCTTGAATCCCTAGGCTCCAGTCATCTCAGGATTCCAGGCCCATGCTGCTGCTCTTGGTTTTAAAAATTTTTGGGGGTGGTGTTTTTCAGACAGGGGTCTCACTATGTTCAGATTAGCCTTGAACTATGTAGGTCAAGCAGGCCTTCAACTCAGGTCAATCCTCCTGTCTCAGCTTCCCAAGTTCTGGGATTACAGGCATATACCACTATACCCAGCTGCTCATGGCTTCTGAGAGTTTCCTGATGGGACATCCTGTCCTCCTCCTGAGCCTTACCCAGATGCCTCAGGAAGCCCCTCCCTTCCCATGTCCTTCCTGTTCTTGGCTTGCCTCTCATAGCAGGAAAGCAGAATACGATGGCCACAGGTCCAGGGGTTAGACAGTCTTCAATCCCCAGCGCTGCCAGTCACCAGCTGTGTGATCTTGTGCCAATCATGTAACCTCCCAGCTACATTTTATCAGCTGACAAATGGCTTTAAATTACCCATCCTGTGGGGCTTGCAACTGCTTAATGCCTTGTCTTCCGTTTAAGAACAGACAGTACTGTGCACACAAAATCAGCCTTGTGTATGCCTTCCTAATCTGTTTCCATTATTCTTAGGCGTGCCTTTTTATATTTACGAAACCAGGATTAAAAGTAATCAGTGGCTGTGAACCTGCAGTGAAACTGCTGGCATGGGTTACTATCCATGGTGTCCTGGGATGGCGGAGCATGGTTTTGGGTTTGAATTGGCTGTACTTGCCTGTCTCTCCCATTGGACTGGAAGCACCTCAGAGGCAGGGATGGCATCTTGCATGTCACCCCAGCATCCAGGGACAGGGCTCAAATGTTTGCTTGGGTCACATTCCAGGATGGACTTTCTCATTCAGGTATAAACCCACATTCTGCTGCTTCATAGGAATAAGAGGACATAGGCTGAACCAGCAACCCACCCCAGAGCCTGCCTCCAGGAAGCCACTCAGAGCACACTGGTATGGCAGGGCTTCAGAAAGAGGCCCCAGCAAATTCCTTTCTAACCCCTCCTTGAGAATCTGAGGTAGGGGAGGGGCTTGGATGGGGTGTGCAGGCAAAGCACAGGAGCACAGAAAATCCACCTGGATGTGCCCTTGACCTTAATGCTGGCTGGGCCTGGGTTTTGACTCTGACCCTCTGCCAAGGCCCATAGTTTTCCAGGAGTTGGCAGGTGACAGACAAGGTAAAACTCTCATCCTTCTCTCTCTCTTCTCCCCCCCACCCACACCCCGCCTCCCTGAGAAAGCGTTATGTTTATTTCTAGTCAGGAAGTGGGTGGTTCTACTATATGTCCTTTTGTCCCACTGGGGGATCTGAGGGACATGGTCCTGCAGTCAGGGTGTTGGCTGGCCTTCTTTTCGCAGATTAATGCCAAGGGGTCAGGTAATTGCTACGGCTGTGGAGAGAAAAAGGGGTTAAGTGAGGCCCTCAAACTATCCTGTAGAAAAATTAGGCTTTCTCTAGGCCAGTGGTGAACCTGCGCACATGTGCCACAGCAGACTGTTGGTTATCACTGAATGCTCTAAAACGTTCATCATCACTGCTCTGGCTTCCCTTCAAACCCACCTTCCTATCTGCGGGCTCTGAAAACTAGTTTCCATCCAGCTTCTGTGTAGTTCAAAAGCCTTATACCTTCCTATTTCCTTACGTATTTTCCACTGTTCTACTTGACTTTCATATTCTCCCCTCCTGGCTCCAGTTTGCCTCATCCTTATCTCGTACTGATCCCCTACTTTGAACTGCTTCGCCTATTTTTCAGTCATTAGTGAAGATACTCTGTTAGGCATCCATGGTGATAAAAAACAGAGTGAAGGGAAAAGCAATTTACAGTCAGTAGTGAGAGTATAGTGATTCAGAAGCTATAAGCTACAGGTGGTGACCAAATGGAGGGAGTGTGAGCTGGGGGTGGCAGAGGGTCAGGGGAGACTTCAAGGAGGATGAGATGTCTGAGCTGAACTTTAAAGAGTGGGAAGGAGTTGCGAGGCAGAGGAGAAAGTATTACAGGCAGCTAAGTTAGTTAAAATATTATTGGCAGTCAGATAGGGCTGGGCCCTGGAGAGAGTCAATTCAGAAGATAAGAACATATTACAGCTGTGGCTGGAGGCACATTCTTTAAAGGTCAGGCTTTAAGACAAGGAGAGATGAGGTACTTAATATTTCTCCCACAAATGAACAGCAATGATTGATATGCTAAATGGGCATGCATCACCTTGGATGGGGGACCAAAACCTCCCTAGCCCATTCCTTCTCAGAAAATTCTTGTTAGTTCCATGTACCCTGGCTTGCTACATGACTTGCTTCCCTATTTGTTCCCCATTAATCAATATTACTTAAGTGACTGTATTTGTAAGTATATGGATAGTCAACTTATTAGTTGTCCCACCTTATACCTGCCTCATCTTGTGGCTTTGCTCTATGAAACTCCCTTGAGAAATTGGGTCCTTAGGCAACCATTATCTGGCCCCCCTTATGTCACTCTTAGAAGCTGTCTTTGTCTCAATAAATATCTCCTGCTGTTAATCTCCACTGTTCCTAGAATTCATCTTTCAATTTTAGAGAATGTGAACTTGGCATATTGGACATCTTGCAGATTGGGAGTTATATTATTTGGAGGTCCAAATAGCATCCCTATATCGTATGCCCTATATCATTTGGAGGTCCCACTGAGATAATTGGACAGAGGTAAGAGTTTGCTTTTGTTCCATAGATCCCGGGTTGTGACTTGCTTAGGTAATCAAAATTGTCTTGAATTTTTATGCCTTATGTATTGAATTTTTGTCAGTTGTGTATGCCTTGGTTTTTATGCCTTGTCTTTTTAAAAAATGATGGTAAATTTAAGTTGAGAACATAGAAAGATATGCCCCATCAAAGAAAGTGACATTTTACATTTTATTCCTGTTTTGTTTGCAAATTTTTATTTTTAATTAATTAATTTATTTATTTATTGGTACCAGCTATTTAACTTGGGTCCTTGTGCTTGTGAGGCAGGCGGTGGAACCACTGAGCTAAATCTCTGGCCTATTCCTGTTTTGTTATTGTTCTTTTTTTTTTTTTTTTTTTTTTTTTTTTTTTTTTTTAAATTTTTGAGACAGGGTCTCACTATGTAGTTGAGACTGTCCTGGAACTCACTATGTAGCCCAGGCTGGTCTCAAACTCACAGCGATCCTCCTGCCTCAGCCTCCAGAGTGCTGGGATTACAGGTGTGCACCACCACGCCTGGCTTTATTGGTGCTCTTGATCTGTTGACTGTTATGGCTTATTATCTCAGACAACAGTGTTAGGGAAAAAGTGTTTGAGCACCCCCTAATGGACCTTGATATAAAATTCTGTAAAATGGGTTTTTAAAAAAATGAAATCTAGTTAATATATATGCTTATTAATAAATCACTGGACCCCTTCCACTAGTTAGTAAGGCAATACTATCTTCCAGTTAAGAAGACAGCCCTTCTTAAGACTTGGGGAACAGGTTTCACTGAGACATTCTGGCCCAGTCCTCTACACTCTAGAGAAAATGGTGAGCCTATTCTGCCTCAGTTCCCTTTATGGTCTGATCTTCTGCTAATCAGGAGGCAGTCTTAGCTTTTACAATTCCCCATTCTTGCCTTTCCAGGCTGAGAATGATGACTTATGAGCAAGTTGTCTCAATAATTCACCATGAGCATGAGAAGAGAAGACTTCCTTTTGCTGATTTCCTTTCTTATCTTTCCCTGTCATTTTATATTTTCCCTTTTAAAGGCATGTAAGACTAGAAAAAAAGGAATCCTAAAGTATTCCAACCTTTCCCTCCTACCCGAAAAATGAAACCAAAAAACAACTAAGAACCTTTACGTTGAGCTCATAGAAAATGAGTGTTTGCTAACATGGAAGACAGGGAAGTCATCTTTGTTGAGGAACACATACCCGTCCAGGAGAAAACACATAAAAGTGACGATGTCCCCACTTAATGTTTTGGGCAACAGTGTTTCTCAGGAGACTGAAACTGAGACCCCATGGAAAGAATCAACTTCTGGGTGAGACTAGAAGGAGCTATTTCCTAAGCATGATATTTAAGGGACCAAAACACATTTAGTTTAAGGAAGAACCCCCAATCTCCTAGCTCTGTCTCTTTCCTCCTAGATCTGGTTCTCATCATTTATGTGTGTAGGAGAGGAAAATACTTTGGCTACAAATAAGTTGTAGACTAAATGTTGACTAGAAAGGCAGCTAGATTCCTTTTTGGAGACAAATCTTTGGTTTCATGAATGAGTGAAAGCTGAGATGACAACTGAGGGGTGATGGCCAGGGAACTCTGGCAGGTAACCAAAGTTTCCTCAGTGGAAACTGGGTGCTGACAGCCTAACTGGGGAACCAACAGAAAAATCTCTATTTATCTCTCATCCCTACCTAGATTCCTCAGTGAGATGAGAAGTAACTCTCTAAGCTATCTTCTGATATCCTCTGCCCCAGAGTGACCACAGATGACACTGTTAACGCCTCTGATTAAGTCTCCATTAAGAGTTGAGAACAGGTTTTGATTTTTCTCTCTGCTAGTAAGTTGAACCCCCCTACCCAAGTTTTTCCAGTTTGCTGAGTTAACCTTAAAACTTGATTAGTTTGGGCCAGGGATGTAGCTCAGTGGTGCAGTGCCTGCCTGGCAAGTGCAAGGGCCTGGGTTTGATTCTCAGTACCAAAAAGGAAAAGTGAAAAAAAAAAAACCAAAAAACTTGATTAGCTATAGTTAGACTACCTCTCCCTCCAGGAAGTCAGGCTGAGGCAGCTTGGAAAAACTGTTTGCTGCCAGGTGTGGTGGCGCATGTCTGTAATCCCACAACTCGGGAGGCTGAGGCAGGAGGATCACTGAGTTCGAGACCAGCCTGGGCTACACAGTGAGTTCCAGGTCAGTCTCAACTACATAGTGAGACCCTGTCTCAAAAAACAAACAAACAAACAAACAAACAAACAAAACTATTTGCCTTTCATGGAGGAGAATAGCAATCAGCTAGCAACTTACACTTATACTTTGTATATGCTCATTAAGAGTAATAAAGGGCTTTTAGTCAGCCTTTCTCTTCTTCCAGGGATGTGTAAAAAACTGATAAATGTACCTTTACTAACATGTGAATTGTGGATGCTAGGTGATGAGTATAAGTTTAACTTGTGAACTTCAGAGACATTAAAATTTTTAGATTAGATTTTGAATAGAGCATAGCCTTGTCTTACTGCTAAAGAAGATTGCTTAGGTGATTGGGTAGATAACACAAATGCCTTAGAGGCTTTGTCACTCTAGGGCTCAGGGCAAGATTTCTCTGAGTCATTTTGCCTGACTTTATCTCTCTCTGGAGATGATCTCTTTTACAGGATAAGAATTGCTCCAACTATTTCCTACTTGCTCTTTGATATTTTTCCACTTTCTTTCAAAGAATTAGAAGACAGTGGTTTTCATCTTTTGATTGTTGGTTTGCTATCATTGTTTCCTTCTTTAAACATGATTTCTACAGTTGGAATCAATAGTAGCTTGTGCTCTTAGAAACATCTGCTAGTATTAGGAGTAAGAATTTCTGGAGAAGACAGGGTCATGAGCTGGTAAACTGTGGTTAGTTCAACCTGGCTTATCTTTGGGTTTCTCTCTAGAGGGTGGCCACCTGCTGTGGAGTAGAGCCACCTTGGGGATGCCTTGAGGATATAGGAATCAAGAAAAAGTTAAAAGAGATTCCATTTTTTCCCTCTTTCATTTATAGGAAACTCAATATCAAAATCTCTTATGCCCTTTGTTGTGGCAGAGCAGAGCAGCTCAGTGCTATAGCTAAGTGTTACAGCTCAGTGTCATAGCTAAGTGCCACAGCTCAGAGGCACAGCTAACTGTTACAACTCAGTGTTGCAGCCAAGAGCTACAGCTCTGAGGCATAGCTTAGCTTTACAGCTCAGTATTGTGGCTCTGGAACACAGCTCTGAGACACAGCTGAGCTATACAGCTCAATGTGGCAGCTCTTGAACACACCTCTGAGATGGGGCAGCTCTGGGTCACAGCTCTTGTAATTTGAAGACTCAAGAATCCAATGCTCATTTGGATAATAATAAAACCTTTATTATGCCAGTGAGCCCCTGTGGGCTCAGAGGAGTCTGAGCACTCTACCAGAAATGAGAGCCTCATTATATAGGGATCTAGAAGCAGGAGGGGTAGAGTTACAGAACATTCCTGAAACACATGCCAAGTGAGCATGCTCACTGAAGCAGGTGGGTGGAGTTACAGAACATTCCTGGGATGGGTGGAGTTTAACAGAACCTTCTTGTGAGGGGGCAGAGCTTAACAGAACATTCCTGAAAGGTCACACAGTTCAGTCAGAAACCATTTTGATACATTGGGCAAGAGCTCAGCACAAACCCACATCTCCAAAACAAAACATTCTGTGGAAAAAA